CCGAACACCTACCATGGACGCACGCAACAACCGCCCTCAAAGCATCGCCGATCGATGCCCTCGAAACACCCATCCTCATGTGTTCCTCTATGATGTTGTCGCATCACCTAATTGCCGTCCTCGTACACGGTCGACAATGATTGTAGCACAACCATTGACTGTTTGCTACTCTCGCCCCCATGATTGCAGCTTTTGTCATCAACGGGTGGAAGCCCTGTCGTAGCTTCACCCAGAGTCTTCTCCAGCACTGGCGGGTGTCGGTTGCAGCTTCAGCCAGCCCCCCGTTCTAACATCACCATTGAGAGGTTCCAGGAAATCTGACATGCGGTTCCAGCAAATCAAACTAGTGGTTCAAGGAAAAATCGTCCGGCGATCCCACCATCTTCACTCTATGGTCCCAACAAATTCGCTCGACGCTCCCAGCAAAAAATCACACTAGTGGTTGCAGCACCATCGCTGGACGTTGTGTCTCATAGGCTTGCCGCCAGGCCGTTCCAGCACCTTTGCGCAATGGTCCCAACACCGCCACCAAGCTGTTGCAACACCTTCGACAGCAACGTCGATCCCAGTCTCGTGGGGGAGGAGCACGACACCGTTGATGGCCACCAAGGATGCGCGCGTAAGTAGTGGAGATGTTCTCTCATGACGAGGAGAGGAAGGTGGAGGAGAAAGAAGAAACGAGGGGGAAGCCCGCATGTGCATTGGGCGAACTTCGTCAGATCTGTGTTGCAGCGTGCGAAGCTCACCGTATTTACGCGCGATATGGTGGTTATCACTGAAGAAGGAGAGAAGAGATCACAATGCATTGTGAGATAAAGGGATAAGGCAGTGTTGCCTCCCTCCCATGTGGCCTACCGTGGGACAAGTGTAGCATTTCCTCGGGTAGATACCACGCAACAACACAATGTCAATCGAGGTTTGGTCTATCGATTAAGTTTGATCGAATGACCAGCATGCGAGAGATGCAATCGCTCGGCTGGGTGGGCGGCAATGATGAATTACCCAAAGTAAATACTACTACACTCTCTGAGGCGTTGTCAAAGTTCGAGGTGGCCGAAGCGGAGGAGCCGACTGATGTGTCCATTTTGCATCATGTGCTCATACTGTTATTTATAATGTTTTGGGTTAATATTTCACT